AAACTAGCGGGGAGGCAGCTATTCATCACCACCCACCGCCAACTCTTGGGCTACTCTTTTACCAACGAATAGTGGGATTGACCGTCACTTTATAACGCCCCCACGGCTGAAAGGGCGAGCATGTTTGGTGTGACGGGGATTCGAACCCGCGACCCTCAGATTGCGAGAACTGGTACTAAGGCCCAGTGAGTACCATTAAAATATAACCACTATTTATAACAGTAAAGGACTATTCAGAAAATACACTTCACTGACAACTCTTTTATCATTTTGGTCAGCTCTATAAATCAGGGTATCAAGAATTTACTGGATATTTTAAATAAATATATCTTAAACTCAATTACGTTTTATTTTACTAAATTTTGGACACACGAAATAAAGGTAAGATTTTTAAAAATATGACGTTTACTGATCATTGGAGCGCACCCTGTGGTTATTTTGGTGAGTGAGAGAAATGCGATGAAATAAATAAAAATATCTCACAGTAATCCGGATTTTCCGCTCATTCAGTCACTTCATTAATTCAGGCCCCGGCATGGCCAGGTGGTTAAGGCACTCAACTCGCAGGTAGAGCCTTTGGAATTGTGACAACAAAGAAATTTTAACATGGGAAGTACGGGTCAGTTTTGGGTACTTATAGAAATAGCGGATCATTGGCACAATATGACGTTTGGAAAGGACAGAAGCCTAATAGGGTAAATGTTGTAGGGAGCTTCTCTGGGCCCCCCCCCCTACCCTTTTCACAGTGGTACTACTCTTGGAACTAACTGCATGACATACAGTGAGGTGACTAAGTAATGTAAATTACATGAGAAATGTGATCATGATTCTTAACTGCAGTGAATATGACTGATGGTGAACAGTATCAATACGCCACTAAATAGATACCACATAGACATAGGACCATTTATTTACCATCATGATTCTTAACTGCAAGAATATGACTGATGGTGAACAGTATCAATACGCCACTAAATAGATATCACATGGACACTGCACCATCATGATTCTTAACTGCAGTGAATATGACTGATGGTGAACAGTATCAATACGCCACTAAATAGATATCACATGGACACAGTATCATTCATGTACCATCAAGATTCTTAACTGCAGTGAATATGACTGATGGTGAACAGTATCAATACGCCACTAAATAGATACCACATGGACACAGTATCATTCATGTACCATCAAGATTCTTAACTGCAGTGAATATGACTGATGGTGAACAGTATCAATACGCCACTAAATAGATACCACATAGACACAGTACCATTCATGCACCAGCATGATTCTTAACTGCAGTGAATATGACTGATGGTGAACAGTAACAATACGCCACTAAATACATACCACATAGACACAGTACCATTCATGTACCATCAAGATTCTTAACTGCAGTGAATATGACTGATGGTGAACAGTATCAATACGCCACTAAATAGATACAGTACCATTCATGTACCATCTTCGCATGGGCAGTAATTGACAGACACATCCAATGAAGCTGCACCACAGGGAGCCCACACATAAGTATGTCTTAGCTGTGATCTTATACAAATATGCATAAAATCAGCAGTCCGATTCCCATCTATCAGGAATACTATTATTATCTACTTGTCTCTGTTGTTTTGGTCTCCTCGTGTAGTCTCCGCGCCGTCTGATGGATGTTATATTCCCAAATAATACACGAGTCACACAAGAAAATATAAACATTAATTAATGCCGGAGTTTTCAATGTTTTTTTTTACACTTGGTTTTTACGCGAATGTCAGAAACAAAACAAACACTGGCCGAAATTAATTGTTTTGCGTCATACATTTTTAGGTGCTGTAGTAATACCAAAGATTATGAGTAAAGTAATAGTAATAATAACAAGCGTGTTTTCGAATTACGTTTGTATGTTTTGGAATTTCGCGCAAAGCTACACGAGGGATATCTGCGCTAGTCGTCCCTAATTT